TGTAATTTTAATTCGTTACACTTTAAGACCTAAGGGCCTTTTTTTTCCGGCTCGTCCTGGGCATTTGAATTCTCGGGACCGGCCCTGATGTTTGCTTTTGTGATTTCGTCCATCTTCGCGTACTCACCTTTAATCCCATCATAAGACGAGGTTAGAGGTTATTTTAGTTTATCAAGGATTTGAGATAGTTGCGAATACATTTTTGATGGTAGTAAGTAAATATTGTTGTGTTTTAAAACATTTACATTCAACACATATTTTTACCAAATGTAGCCACCTGCAACCTACTAATCATCTTAAATGCCAATTGAAAACATCATGTGGGGAGTTTTGTTTTTTCTATGTTAACTTGTGTTTGTTTCCTATTCATTAGATTCACCTTAACCATTACATCACATTTTTGTTGAACAGACTTTTTGGCCTCTTGTTTTCATTGTCTAGTTTTTTTTTCTCGTTGTGTGTATCTTATCCATATCTACTTCTTTTCAATTTGTAATGCTTGATAATCGATCCCATCCCTTATACACAAATACAGGAAAATTGATTGTCAACCTTGTTTACCTTGGCAATTATAGCCTTCTCCATTTCACCAGGCATTCTCTATATATGTTCTAAGTTTATCATGAGATATGAAAAGGCTGATGAACTTGGGGTGATTTCATCCATTCCCTTAGCGGGGGAAATGATGAATATATATCATGGTTCTAAATAACGCGCCATGGCGCGCCTCAAGGCGTGCCATGGCTCGAGGCGTGGTGTACCCGTTACGAAAACGTCCAAGGCGGGTTTGTTAAGCGTGACGTCCAAATAACGTGTCAAGGCGCGCCTTATCGCGATATGGCGCGAGTTTTTTTCAAGACGCGAGTTTTTTTTGTTTTGTTTTTTTTATTATTTTATCGGGCCTAAAATAATTTAGTTTTTGTTAACTTTTTATATTAAGTACTAATATAACATTTCTAAAAACTTGATATACTTGATAAAAATCAATAATTATATGATTTATCTTTTTTAATATATATATAATAGTCACGCCTTGAAAAACGTCATGACTCGCCAAAGCTTGTCATGGCTTAACTTTTACCTTGCCGCCAAGCCACGTCTCACGTTATTTAGAACCTTGATATATATTTGAAATGAAGTAGAATTTTATGATTAGAAGTTTTGTTATGAATATTGTTATCAGTTTACATTCTTCATATAGAGTTTTTATGTAGCTGTAGCCTTGTAGGTGGTCATTATATGGTTTAATATATATCGGTGTTAGATAATAGTTGGTTAAATTCGTTTAATTTATATAAATGTTAGTTGAATGTATTTACCAAAGGGCTTCTACCGTTGCGATATCAGGTGTTGTTCTCTTTCTTTGGGGTCGGTGGTTCAAGTATCATTCGGGACATAGGTGGTATTAGGAGTAGTTTAGAAGTAAATTAGATTTGTCGTTCCAAAAAAAATTGGATGTAATTAATTCAAAAAATTTTAAAAATAACATCTTCTATGAATAGAAATTACACATATTGAGGCATAATTTTTATATAAAGAAACCACTCAAATAAATAAATAAATAATTACACATATTTTATATGTGTTAATTCGTATATTTTTAAAGGGATTTGTTTAGGGATATATACACTAAAGTCTCAATATTTTCATCGATTTGACAAGAAAGTCCTAAACTTTATTTTTTTGACAGTAAAGTCCAAATTACCGGCAATTTTTGACACTTTTAACATTTTTTCCCGGTTAGCCGGTAATTAGGACTTTTTTGTCAAAAAAATAAAGTTTAGGACTTTCTTGTCAAATCGTCAATTAAGACTTTATTGTCAAAAAAAATAAAAGCTTAGGACTATCTTGTCAAATCGTTGAAAATATTAGGACTTTAGTGTATATCTCATTTTTTTTTGTTAGAAATTTAATGGTATGATACTCTTTAAGCATAAGAGTTATTAAAACCTTCTCTAGTCAGCTAGATCCTATTGAAATCCTTAACAGTTGCTTATTGTTAAATCGTTTTTTTAATCTCAACAAACCGACATTGAAAAAAATGGAGATAATCAAGAAAGAAAGAAAGAACCAGGGTTGTGTTGGTTTTTTGCAGTCCCCAAAAATGGAGAAATAAGAAACCGAAAAAAACGAAATTGCCCTGGCTTTATACAAACACAAACAACACATGTCTAGTCAAAAGGGTGTGAATGTGGAGAAGAGAAAGAAGTCCAAATATTTTTAACGATTTGACAAGAAAGTCTTAAACTTTATTTTTTTGACAGTAAAGACCTAATTGACGATTTAACAAGAAAGTGCTAAACTTTATTTTTTTTGACAAAAAAGTCCTAATTACCGGCTAACCGGGAAAAAATGGTAAAATTGTCAAAAACTGCCGGTAATTTAGACTTTGCTGTCAAAAAAATAAAGTTTATGACTTTCTTGTCAAATTGATGAAAATATTGGAATTTTACTCTATATATCTCATTTGATTATGTTTTTTTGCCATTGATAATTGTAAACAACAATCTTTCCTTTTGCTCGGGAAACAACCCATCGCTTCTTTTTTATTTTAATCTTGAAATCATTAAAGATTGTGAATTAAAGGAAAAAGTTGGTCAATATATAAAGCTTTGTCGAATATATATATATATATATATATATATATATATATATATATATATATATATATATATATATATATATATATAAAAGACTGAAGGTTTTTCCAAAAAAGATGTAAATTAACAGAATATTACCCATAAATGGGAAAAAATAAAGGAAAATTAAAATAAAAATGAGGAATTTTTCAGAAAAAAGGTTTTTGGTTTTAATAAAAAAAATCTAAAATAAAAAATCTTTTATGTATGATTAACCCTTTTATCAATATTGGATAAATTGACTTATACTTTTCATTATAAAAAATTTATTTATACATCGATATTAAATAATATTTTACAACAAATAATGACATCTTTTAAATATTTATATTCGTCCCCATATTTTTCTATAATGTTGAATAGTTGCAAGTGGGGGAATACCATTCTTTTTGCCAACAAGTTGGACTCTCGTGCGTGTGTGTTTCAACTTTCAACTCGCGGGTCCACATCCTACGAATCGTACGCTTGCACCAACCAAATTGGAACTTTCGACGTGTCGTTTGCTGCCGACATGGACCCTGGTGGGTCCTACCTACTTTGGATGTACACTAGAATTCCGGGACTCTTCTAGAAGGCCGTATGAAACGTACGGATATTTTTAGGACAAAATGCCGGCTTCTATTTTAGTATAGTTAGTTTGTCTCATCTAGAAAATTGCAAATATAAATGTAATTGCAGATTATTCTATTACTGGGACATGCTTACATATAGATAAAGTTACAAAATTAGTTCTTAAATCATTTAAGTTGACTGAAAATTATATACATATTTTCAAATACTCGGGTATTCGTATTCATGTGAAGACGCATAGGACTTTTCTACAAAATAATGAAATCTTGAAGATGAATAACATTCCAACCAAGTCCACAATATGGGTTAGATACTATTTCTTGTGCTCTTTTGACCTTGACGGCATATGACATTACATTTCCCTTTTGTAGTAGACTAAACTCCATAAATGATCTCTATGGTTTGTTTAAAATTATCATTTTGGTTTAAACGAGTTTGGATTAGCACCAGAGCTCCAAAGTTAAATTTAATGTCAAAAACTTACTTGTTGTGATTGAAGTACATTTGATATTGTTAAAGGTGAGATACCAAATTTCATCCTAATATAATGTTAGAAGTTAAATTTAATAAAACTTACTTGTTGGAATTGAAGCACATTTGTTCATATCATCTCAAACATATGTGCTTACATCTACAATATAAAAGTTATGATGAATATATTTCTTAATGATTCTTTTTAAAAAAATGGATGTATAGGTACATGAGTTAAAAGGATTATCTATGTAATAAAAACTTGGCTTTTTATAAACTATAAATGATTAAAAATATACGTAAACACACACACACATATATATATATATATATATATATAAATTTTAAAAAATTACATAAATACGTAAAAATAGATATAAATACTTAAAAAAATACGTTTATATATTATATATAACTTTTAACGAAATTTGTAGAAAAGTCTTATTATTTTGAAAAAATTAATAATTTGGTTTAATGACCTGCTGAACAGGTCAAAAATGGATAAAGTGAATAAATTAGCCAGTTTTTTGGACTTTTTCTATTCAAAAAGTTTAAAAATCAGGATTTTTCTGTTAAAAAAAAAATTAAGATTTACTAAAAAAGTTTCCAAAATATTATGATTTTTCCGTGCTTTAATCTCCGATTTTACCTTGAGATTTTAATTTCTTGGATTTTACCAAGTGTGGTCTCGCAAAAATCTCGGAATATGATGATGATTACAAATTTTGAAAAATATTTGTGTACAGTCTTTGAAATATCCGAGTTTATATTAATATTCTAACATGTATTTCTAGTGACTTACACGTTGCAAATCTAGTAGAAAAATTCTGCTTTAGACCTTTTCTTATTCGCTTGATCAAATCCACGACCAACTCTCTTTGGCAATTGTTGCTTAGTCCAACTTATATCCGATAGCTCACACTTAGCGTGTTTTATTGCGTGTCATCTACATCCACCTATAAATATACACATTTTTACACTCTAGTTCGTCTCAACAGATCACCTACCACACACTCTCTCTCTCTCTCTCATCTCCATGGAAATCTATTTGTGAAGAAACTGAAGAACATACGAGTAGATTTATGATTCTTATTATCTACATCAAAGCATACGGTAGAGCTCCTTTATGCGTATAACAACCACCGTTCGCTATCTAGAACCTTCTTCTCGTTTTGTTTCTTGTAGCCATGTCTGTGGTAGACCCTTGGCCGTTATTTTGAGAAAACAACCGATTTACTGTAATTTTTATCCAAAATCTTCAACTTCGCACGGAAAGAAACTCGAAGTTTGATCTGGTTAGTTGAATTTCTCGTAAAAAGGATGAAAATTAGAGGGTTTTTGATCAAACATAGAGTCAGTTCACTTTTTCGGCGAGTTTACCGGAGAACTCAATCGGCGGCAGGTTACAGACGGCTAGATCGGTCTCCGAGGTGTATGTCAAATTTGTTGAAGTGGGGTGCTCGGCTCAAGACGAAAACAATAGCTTTGTGTTCCAAAAACTCCGATCTGCCTCGGAATCCGGTTCTTGAAAAGTTTATAGAGTCGCCGCGGGCGGCGGTGCCGAAAGGGAAAATGGCGGTGTACGTCGGTCAGAAAGATGGAGACTTCAAGAGAGTGTTGGTGCCGGTGATATATATAAACCACCCGTTGTTTGGTCAATTGTTGAGGGAGGCGGAGGAGGAGTATGGCCACGACCACCCCGGCGGGATCACCATACCTTGTCGGTTTTCGGATTTTGAGAACGTGAATACTCAGATCGCCGCTGTATGCGGTTTCCGGAAAATGATGACGTGGAAGCGTCGTTGATGATGATGATGATGATAAATATAGGACCATTTTAGGTTTTTTCTATATCTTTGAGAGGTTTTTTAGAGTGAAAGAGCTGTATTGATTGTATATTGTGAATTATAAGTTATACAATTCTCTGGATTTGGATAATTTTACTCTGAAAACCCATATTTCATTATTTTGTGCACATTAAATCTATACAAAGTACAAACATACTATGTGATTGTTTATTTTTGACATTTTAAGGTGGGTTTAATATATATTTAATTTAACTTTTATTTATAAATTTTATTATATAAAACAGTAATAAATTTTTCTAAATTTGATTTATTTTAGATAATTTATACAAAATAGCAACATATTTTAAATTTTAGTTATCTATAATATTTTTTTCTATTATAGTTGTAGAATTCGCTACTCGGTACCTGCTCGGCCGACTGGGGAGTAGCGAGTACTCGGATTCGGTAATTCATGTAAAAATATTTTTTGGAAAATTATATATGTCAAAATCATAAGTTAAAATCATAATTTGATTGAAATATATAACCAAAATTAGATACATGTGAATACATAAAAACTGAAATACACATAATTGTCTCACTACGTGGATAATTACTGAAAATTTAAGATATATATGTAGTAATAATCACATGTTTGTGTTAAATAATAAATCATTAAGTGCATTATACATATTAATCTTGAAATTCTTGATTTTCTTCACTTTTTATGACAATTTTGACCCTTTGACCGGGTTTAACCGATTTTGACCGAGTTGGCCGAGTTTGACCGAGTAGGCCTGAGTAAGACCGAGTAGGCCCGAGTTTGACCGAGTTTGTCCGATTTTTGACCGAGTTTGACCGATTTTTGGCCGATTTTGACTAAATCTGAGTTTTTTGGCCGAGTTGACATTACTCGCTTCGGTGGAGGGCCGATTCCGAGTAATCGGCCGAGTACTCGGCCGAGTAGGCCGAGTTTTACAACACTGATTATAGTTATAACGATCCCAAATTTAATGTTAAACATACTATAATAACTTTCTCTTAACAAAAAAAAGTACAAATAATGAACGATTGTTTAGATTTTTCATTTCTCTTAACAAAAAAAAGTAGGAAAAATGACACATTAGCTCTATTAAGTATTGTACATCTGTTCATTCAGTCCTTTAAGTTATTATCGTGCTTTATGTGGGAACAAACTTGCCAGTGACCTGTTCATTTAGTCACTAGACCTCCTGTAACCGATTAATAACGCCACATAATTAAATGAAATGCCACATAATAATCTATTTTATTAAAAGACGGCTACGTTGATTATGCATTTGGTTGAAAAACATCTCTGACTTCTTTCAGGCATTTCATCGAACAATTTATGTGCACAGTTCATCCTTGACTTCTTCTTAGCTAGGAAGAGTTAATCAATTGAAGATAAATCATTGGTACCTTCTATAACCTTTCAGTTTCATGTTGAGGCAACTGATACTTGTTCATAATCTAACTTGTTCGAATGCCTTTTGGAGTTTTCCAGAATAAACTGTGATGAAAACTAACTTTTGGATGCAAAGCCATTAGTAGTGGAAGGAAACAAGAGTTGATAATGTAAATTGAAGCTATCTATCATGTTGATTTTTAAATCTAAAGAGGAAGGAGGAAGACGCTGGTGGAATCGCCGAGGTTGAAGGAAGGAGGTCGTTGGTGTTCAACCAACTGAATGTATAGTTAGTTATAAGAGTAAAAAAGATGCCAATTCCCTCTGGAATCCAAATCTGGTAGAACCCATATTGCATTCTTCACAAATGTGTGAACATATTTGAAGGACCATGGATGATGAATTGGAAATATGTGGTCTCTTCCTTCTTATCGTTTCCATATAGGCTGATAAGTAACCCACTTCAAAGTTTCATGAAATTATAAGTTACAGCAAATTTAGCAAAAAATGGAGGTCGATTACAGAAAGAACATATGAAAGAAATAGCTATGAAAGCTTGAATACACACTCACACCTATAAAGCGTATTGCATTGTTGTTTCTCTAGCAAAAAAAAGCTAATAGTTGTGAAAAATGGAACATAGAAAAGATCAGCATCCTCCTTCCGATGAACTCTTACAACACTTTTCAAAAGCCTTTCGGATTCTGGAGCAATCAAATATGCCCACAACCAGTAGTTAATTGAGTGCTACAGTGTGACAACCCGAAATTTTCATTTGTATAAACTCTACAGTTAAGCACTACAAATAGTAGCCAAATTCATTTCAGTACGTTTTTGGCCGGTTTTCAGTCCGTTTGGGTGTTTTTATTTTATATTCGTCAAACGAACAAATAAAAGGAAGTATACTTTAGAGGTTGTCGTGCATCACTTAAGTCTCAAAACTCCAAGAGTTTGGAGTTTACGGCCCCAAACGTGGAGTTTACGGCCGTAAACTCTAAAGAGTATAAATATGACACTTAGTCATTTTTGGCTCATTTTTCACTTCCTAGCTCAAGAACACCCACAATTCTCTCTCAAGTATCATATCACATTTCTTCCGATCTTCCAAAAATGTAAGTTTTTCTTCCCCAGATTTGTTGATATAACACTTTATCTAGTGTTTATACATGATTTCATCCATGAAATCTTGTCTTTTTCATAGATCTTCAAGTGTTCTTCAAGAACACCAAGAACACACACTAGTGTTCTTGGGCCCTAAACACTCTTTCAAGCTTCCTATAAGTAAGTACACTCCTCCTATCTAGTTGTTTGCTTAGTATACTTGCTAAACCATTGGAAAACATCAAAAATCCCCAAGAACACATGTGTTTACGGTCAAGGGATATCCTTGAACCGTAAACACCATCAAGTGGTGTTTAAGTGTCACTAACACCTTCTAGGGCTTGGATATTGGACTAGAACCTTGCATGCATGAGCTAGAAACCCCAAAACACGAAATGGTAGGAGTGACCATGAGTTTACGGCCGTAAACTCATGGGTTTACGACCGTAAACACATTGAGTTTACGACCGTAAACTCCCATGGAGTGGTCCAAGAACCGTAAACTCCCATAAAGGGCCATTTTGAGCCCTAGTCCCTTCCTAAGCCTTGGATGCAAACCTAGAACACTTCCTTGAGGGGTATAAGACCTTAAATCACACAATGGTACTAATTACCATGAGTTTACGGCCGTAAACTCATGGGGGAAATGACCATGGGCCGTAAACTCATGTGTTGGTACCAAATGGGAAGTAAACTCCAATGTGAGGCCATACTCTCTTTAGATGCAACCCTTTAGCACCCCTAGCACTCGAATCAAAGTGTTACCTATGTATTAGGGTGTCTTTACTTGATAAATTGGTTATTAAATGACTAATTAGATACATATATGTATCATCACATGTTAAATAGGATCCGTGTGTGTGCTCAAGCCCTCACTTGACACTTAGCATCCTATACCATCCATTCATCCGAATCACCCACCACAGGTAAGTTCATACCCCTTAATCAACCTTTGAAATGATTTTAAATGCTTTTATGGGGGGGAATACAAGTTGAACTGCTAAGTTATTATATCAATCACATGTGATTAATAACTGTCAAGCAAATAGATTTTTGCATGTTAAACTGTTTTATTCAGCTAAAGGTTTTCAATTCTCGTTTTCAAATCTCTTTTAAAACACTAAAATCTTTTTTTAAATTTCTAAGCTTTTATCAAAGTCTTTTAAACTTATATTCTTGATAGATTCATGTCTATATAGATATAGTTATATAAGTAGGGTTTGAAGGACTTAGGACTGATAGCCCGCTTTATTTCCTGTTCCTTGTTTGGTTGTGGACTTAGAGCATCCGGTTATTTATCCGAGTGTCGTTGAAGTCCTAGTTATATATTATATATATCTAGATAGATATTAAAACTCTTACTCCAGTTCAAATCCTTTGGGTAGCAAAGGTACCTAGATAACCTCTCAAGTAAACTATAATAGGTATAGTTTAGAAACCAACCATAACTTTCATAAAGGAGAACTTAGTTATATCTATATTCATAAAAAAACGTGTACTTTTAGTAAAAAGAAAGGTATATAGAAATCAAAACACTAGATACATCCTCATGACGCGGATTTCACCGTTGTCAAGTTGGTAACCAGAGTCTCCTGGAGGGAGAGCGAGCATTGTGTGTATAGATCTATACGGGACAGACCATCCCACATCCTGACTGCTAGCTACAGTCCCGGCCGACCAAGCCAAGGGGTGACAAATGTCACATTCATTTCGACGCCAGCAGGTCGTCGTGTTTACATCCGTCAATCAGTATGGTTACGAGTATCTTTACATTTACCTTATAATTCATGGCCTTAAGGTAAGTATTATCACGGTAGTTTCTACATATAAAACCATCATAATATATTTTCCTAGTTATACATTAGGTCACATTTAAACCTTTAAACTAACCTACTTAGGATTAAAGGCTACTTTAGACTCCCCGAGGTGTATTGTCATTTAATACTACCTGGAGTCTGTATCTTACTACTTTAGACTCCTCGGGGTGTATTGTCATTCTAATACTACCCGGAGTCTGCATTTTATTACCATATAAACAACAATGTCATTGCTGAAGTAAAGCATTATTTTTCCCTATTACATTTAATTGTGGCTTTCCCACATACTCATTAATGTAAAACTATATTTTGATAATAGTAGTAACATTTGGGGAAAAATGCTCTTTAAACACAAAACAGTCGGGTCTCGATAGAAAACTGCTTTTATTAGATAAACTCGTCTCTTTTAACTCAAAACAGTCGGGTCTTGGTAGAAGACTACTTTTAATAGAAAATATAGGATTTTTCTGGAAGGAATTCAAATACTTTATAAACTCTTATCACCATCATCTAATGAGATTATTTTGAGGAAAAACATGTATTTATATCAATGTCAATAAAATACTTATGAACTCACCAGCATTAAAATGTTGATACTCGCTTTCAAAATAACTTGTATTCTCAGGTCGTCACTAGACAGGTACACTCCGGAAGCTTTTGTGAAGACAGCCTTGT